TGGATTAGCTAATTAATTGGTATTCACATTTCACTTGATTTAATTACTCGCCGTTAGCCAGCGCCATATTAAGGTGCTTTAACGCGTTGTCCTTTCGCCTAGAAAACAGAAAATATTTAATAAAAGTTTGCTTTCGGTCTACATAATGCAAAAATTTACTGGACTGACTGATGGAACGAAACTAAAAGGCACTGTCTACTTCAGTGTTCAGTTGCACCTTTTCATATATATATCCCTTCCTTTTTTTAGTCAAGTTTCCTACTGTACTTCACACACTTTATCTTTTTATTCACCAAACTTGCACATAAATCGGAACTAAAGACTATCTTTTCCGATGCACTTTAATCCAACGTGCTTCCTTGACTTCCTACAGATCCGTTTCCACTGCATCGATCCTCCTGGATGCCGTAATCGAACCGAACACCTGTTCCTGGGCCCCGACCCTTCTGAATCCAGTACCATTACTTCCACTTCCCTGATTAGCTGGTCGACCAGGTTTCGACATCGCTTGTCCGGCTCTTGTTTGGAGCGTTATGCACAAATGCCTGTTTTTGCGCGCAAATATGCTACTCGCCAAGTATCTTCTGATGCGACCTTCGTCCTCCACAGGCCTTTTGAGCAAACCAAGGTTAAAAAGACGAATCGTACTCGTGTTAGGACTCCGGCACATGTTTTCAAGCTGGTTGAATTAAATCTGGACGACCTGGAGCCGCGAGCCCTTTATGAGATGACCATGTGCAGTTGGAGACCTGAATCTGCCGTCTGTCTGCCGATCTCTCGTTCAACGGAAGTCTTTCGTACTGGAATCTCTGGTTCGCGTGACTTAACTCTACTGTTAAACTGAATATTTTATCATAATAAGAAGTTGCTTTAAGTCCTATTAGTCCAGTTTTTCTTCCGAGTGAAGAGAATTATTATATTTGTTTTTTTAATTTCAATTTGCTCTTATTTTTTAATCACGTACACGTTTTTCCCGTATCCGTGCGTTACGTTTAACAATTTGCCTCAAACTTCGGATAGCAAGTATACACCAGCCTCCTTGAGCAAGCCCCTAAGGTCTGGATTCTCAATTGGAATGGCAACCTAACATTACGCTTCAGATTCCCCAATCACTGTGTGGCATGTGCACCGATTAAATCTCGTGGGCAAGCCTTTACTTCATGGAATACGTCTATGAGCAAACTTATTTACTAGTAGCTAACTAGCAATGGCCGCCACCGTTTCTCTCACTCTTCTACCCATAATGCCAAGTCTACGATTTTCTCCAAATGTGATAGTTCTACTTGATTTGAATAGGCTCACTGTAGACGTCTTTTCTTTGCTTCCGACTGGTCCTCTCTGATCTCTTTGTAATTTCTTTTCCTAAAATTAATCATATTACTCAATTAGCACAGATGGAGTAGCAGGAGCCGGGTGAAATACTTGAACCAGGAAGATAGCAGGCGGATTCTACGATAAAAAGGATGACTCTGATAAGACCTAAGGAATGAGGACTGCGTAACAATATTGCAGAATCTGAACAACATTCCCAGCATAAGGATGAAGGGGGGCGAGAACGCCAGCGTGGAGTGTAGAGGGTTCTCATGAAAGCCGCTCAAAAGGCCACACTACATTTAAATAAGCACGGAAAGAAGAATTGTGACAGTGAAAGCGTGACACGAGGATATAGGAAAGGTGAATAGCCCAAGACAGGAGGAGAGATACCACAACTGTTTAGCACACATTTGGTCGAAGGATCGGTTTTACTTGTCTCTTTGATTAGTTGTAGTATGGTGCTAAGAATGGCAAGACTCACTGACGATGCTGGCAAAACGTCTGGGAATGCACCACGTCCACGGTCCGACTTTGGATATGATAATGCATACAATGAACTCCGGATTAGGTGCGTTCCTCAAAGTCTTCCTACTAATATGACCAAGTTGCGAAAACAAAGTCAAACAACTTCTTTAATCTTATTAACTTTGTCCAGTCATCTTTCTTTTGCTTATATTACTCTTCCCTGATCTCTGAGTTTGCTTAGGTAGTACGAAATGTTTTCGCTAATCCTGC